ACTAAGGCAGGTAGGGGTGGAAAGTACAGAGCATTGGCCACAATGGTTTTAAAAAAAACATGACGGCACAAGAAATAATCATTAATCCCCCTCATACACATAGACCAAGTCCCACATGTAGCTAGTACAGCATTCATATGTTAAAATAAATAATATTAAAATATATATAAATCACATACCTTATCACAGTCTAAGCTAACAAAGGAAAGTATTCCAGATGCCTTCGCAACCATCTTATCTACCAATCCTGCTACTTTCAGGGATTTGTCGACATGCTCTCCAAGATTTCTTTGCATCTCTTGTTTATTTGACAGTCATTCGCCTCGTTTGTTCTCTCCAAATGCATGACCTCTTAATCCTCCAGTTTGAATATCATTTGCCACTTTTCGGTCAACCTAACAAGCCCATTATGTCTTCCTGCAATTAAAAGCTTTTTTCCATGCAGCCAATTTTCATTTAATTTGCAAAACCTTAATTAGGCTTTTAGGTTTAAATCTAAGTCATTGAGATATGTATATATATCAAAAATAGCTAGAGACCCATTACTGCAAAACCCCTCCAAAGACAGCGTTCTAGTCACACCACCATTTGACCGTTATCTTCTGCGCTCAGCAACTAAGCCATTTATGGATCCAACTTTCCACTTGCCCTTGGATCCTGTCATCTTTTAATCTCTGACCAAAATGCCACATGGACCATCATCAAATGCCTTGCCAAAATCCAGTAGGCCCTAGCTACTGCGTTACTCTCAATGGCTGTCCTAGTTATCTTTTAATAAATTCAGTCCAGCTAGCCAGACACAACATTTTGTTAATACATTTATGCTGACTACTGAAACAGTCATCTTACTTAGTCACCAGTTAATGTAACTACACTACTGTCTTCATCATCCAATGTTTATTTGCTTATGTTGGACTGAAACCAGCAGCAGGTCTTGTATCTGATTGTAAGATGATATTTATAGAAATACATAATGGAACATTTAGCATTGGGTGATGTTTTGATAGCAGGTACAGACAGAGAGAAACCAGGGTAGAATGAACAAAGTTTCTTGTTACATTATGCACAGAACAACAACACCATTGTTTATGCACTGGCAGAACATCTGATGCCATTCAGTACAGGGCATGGAGTCAAAGTGGTACTTACAATGAGTAATGCACAGATGTTGACCCTGCGGTTCTGACCAGAGGGTTTTGCTTCAGTGCTCAGATACCAAGTGGCAGCAAGTGGCTCTGAACTATCTGCTCTCAGATTATTAGATCCCATCCAGTGACCACATTAAGAAGCAAAGGGTTGATATTAGCATTCCTCACCTGGCAGGAATGAGGCAGGCAGCGGGTTAGAGTCCTGGTTTGGGCAATTGCTACTGCATTTCAAAATCAGTTCCACCCAAAGTTTTGCCTGCAAGCAGAGTCCTTGTTCATATGAAAATTCCGGGTTCAGTGGTATCATTTGTAACCAACACAACTTTTATTGAAGATTATTGATGTTGACACTGGGTGCTAGGCAATAGTACTGACACTGACACAGGTATTGACACTGGACATGACAACTGGCTACCAACACTGGCAAAAATATTATGTACTGGACATTGATGTTACAAAATGACACTGGGTTCTAGCATTAAATCCTGACACTCAGCACTGCCACTAGCATTGGATGTAAGGGAATTCCTACACTGGCTGAAACGTCTGTTAGTTCTACTTTTCTGAGGTCAATACAGCATTCTTCAATACTCGTTTTTGTCATTCTTAAAGTATAAATGAAATGGAAATGAAAGTAATTCCTGCTCATCCGTTGCACTTTTTGTATTTTCTATGGATGTATAAAGTAGAACATACAGCATTAATTTCAACTGACAGGGTGAAAAAGTAAATTGAACACAGGGTGGCTGTGAAAGGGAGAACAAACACTGCATTTCAGTAGCTCCTTTCAGGACCATTGGATGTCTCAAAGAACTTTGCAGCCAGTGAAATGTTGTCACTGTTATAACACAGGAAATGCAGCAGCCAATTTGCGTCCAGTAAGATCCCACAAACAGCAATGCGATAATGACCAGATAATCTATTTTACTGGTGTTGATTGAGGAACAAATACTAACTGGGATACTGGGGGTATATATCAGCTGTTTAAGATAGTGCCAAGGAAGCTTTTCTATCCTCCAGAAGAGGACTCAGTTTAAAGATTCAATGATAGACTGCTGCTTCAACGATGTAATACTCTCTCCATTTTGCCCATCAAGAGTGCTGTACTCACTCAGAACTGCACCACTGGCAGTGCAACACATCCTCAGTACTGCATATCTTACAGTGCAGTGGTCCATCAGTACAGCTCCTCTAACAATGCAGCACTCCCACAGTACTGATCCTCCAACAATGCAGCACTCCCACAGTACTGATCCTCCAACAATGCAACATTCCCACAGTACTGATCCTTCAACAATGCAACATTCCCACAGTACTGATCCTTCAACAATGCAACAGTCCCACAGTACTGGTCCTCCAATACTGCAGCACTCCCACTGTACTGACCCTCCAAAAGTGCAGCATTCCGTAGTACTGACCTTCTGACAGTGCAGCAATCCCACAGTACTGACCCTCCAAAAGTACAGCAATCCCACAGTACTGACCCTCCAAAAGTGCAGCAATCCCACAGTACTGACCCTCCAAAAGTGCAGCACTCCCACAGTACTGACCCTCCAAAAGTGCAGCAATCCCACAGTACTGACCCTCCAAAAGTGCAGCACTCCCACCGTACTGACCCTCCAAAAGTGCAGCACTCCCATAGTACTGATCTTCTGACAGTGCAACACTCCCACAGTACTGATCCTCCAAAAATGCAGTGTCTCATAGTACTGACCCTTCAATAGTTCAGTGTTTCCTCAGGACTGATCCTCCAGTTGCGCAGTACTCCATCAGTACTGACCCACCAACAATGTAGAGCTCCCTCAATACTGCTCCTCCAACAGTGTAGTGTTCCTTCAATAATGAACCTCCCACAGTAATGTTTCCTCAGTGCTGCCTTTCCATCAATGCAGTGTTCCCTCAACACTGACCCTCCAACAATGCAGGATTCCCTCAGTAGTTCACTGGAGAGTATCCCAGATTGTTTTACTTAAGCCCTTGAGTGGGACTGAAACCCACACCTTCTAACTCAGAGTTAAGAAAGGGTGCCAACAACTGAGACACAGCCTGGAAGTGTTGTTTAATGCATTCCTGAGAAAAAAAAGCATTGCTGCTAAAGCTATCATTTTTCATCCACCACTAATTGCTCTTGAGAAGTACTGGTGAGCTGTCTTCTTGAATGCTCTGCCTTTGGAATGTAGGTATTGCCACAACACTACTCGGAAGGGAGTTGCCGGATTATAACTCAACAATAGTGAAGGAAAATTGATATAGTTGTAAGGTGTGTGACTCAGCAGGGAACCTGCTACGGTGGTGTTGCAAAGCAATGTAACTGCTGGCCTTGTTCTTCGAGGTGATTGAGGGTGCAGGTTCAGAAGATGTTGCCAGTGGAGACTCGGTGATTTGCTGTAGTGTAACCTGTAGATGGAAAATGATGTTGCCGCTATGCACTGGATGTGGAGGGAGTGAATGTTTAAGGCAATGAAAGGGGATGCTGAGCAAGTGGAAAACTTTTTCCCGAATGTTGTCAATCTTCCTGGGTGTTATTGAAGCCGCTGCCATCCAGTCAAGTGGGGATCATTCTATCATGCTGGAAAAACTCAGCAGACTTCTGAAGAAGGGTAACTGGACCAAAAATATTAACTTTGCTTTCTCTCTACAGATGCTGCCAGGCTTGCTGAGTTTTTCCAGCAATTTCTGTTTGTGTTTCTGATTTCTAGCATCTGCAGTTCTTTGGGTTGATTTTTTTCATTCTATTATGCTCCTCACTTGTGCCTTTTATATGGTGGAAAGCTTTATAAGTCACAAGGTGAGTTATTTACTGCAGAATCCCCAGACTCTGATCTGATTTTATAGCCACATTTATTTATATGGCTGGTCCAGTCTGGTTTCTGGTCAATGACAAGCCCCAGGATATTAATGGAGGGGAATTTAGAAATGGCGCTACCTCTGAATATCAAATGGAGATTCAGTTTTATTGCAACATGATCTTCGCCTGCTACTCGAGTGGCACATACATTACTCTTATGAGACATTGATGAGCCCTCGACTGAATGTTACCCAGGTCTTGCTGCTATGGGCAAGGACTGCTTCAGGATCTAGAGTTACAAATGTTGCTGAACATTGTTCCAAACATCAATTAACCTGTCCACCTCTGACGTTATGATGGAGGGAAGATCACTGAGGAACCATTTGAAACTGTTTGGTGGTGTGCCTGTGTGTCTGCTGCCCTTGCCTTCCTACTTTTACAGGTTATGGATTTGAAAGGTTGGAGGAGACTTGGTGAGTTACTCAAGTACAAGTAACACACATTGTAACACACAAGTACAAGTAACACTCAAACAGCTGTCCAAGGGGTGGTTTGGGGAAGAGGAATTTCTCCAAGGGCCTGGAAACAGACAGAGGGTTTGGGTTTTGCTCACTTTCAAATTATTTGCTGATAATGTTCACTCATTGGTAAACAAAATTTCCCAAAGCCTGGCAAAATGAAAGGGCTTTCCCTTTTTTATGCGAACAGTATTGGCTATATGCAAAGTTGGCGCCAATTTCTGTTTGGCAAACAGTGCAACAATGGAAAGTGAAACTTAGAAATAATTGAGCTTACAAATTCGACGGGATTCCACGTGATTTCAGGGAAAGGAAACAGGATTGCCATATTTGGAAAATGACAGTACCCGCGCCTAGTATCAGAACAGAGGCTAGTGCCGGGCCATCTGCGCAGTGGTGAGGTGATGAAACCACAAACAGCGGGAGTGGAGAGGGGTGGGGAGAGAGGTGAACTCCGCCTGCTGAGTGAGGTTATGGAGGGGCGGGTGTGGATTGCAGAAGTTGGTCCTCCCTGTTAGTATGTGACGTGTCTGAGTGGCCCAGACCTCTATATAGGAGCTTTGCAGAGCCAGGGTGCGTTGAATTGAAAGCAGAGTGGTGTACTGATGTTTGTGATTTCTGCAATGGGCAAACAGAGGTGACACACTCTCTTGTAGGAATGTATTTACTGGGGACAAGTCTCCATGTCTGATCTGCACCTTGTACTATTGCAGAATTCGTTATCTTGCTTTGCTGTACATCGTGTTTGAAACACAGAGCGTTGTCCCAATCTGTTTACAGAATGAACAACCAGAAACCACAGCTCCGATCCTGGTTAATCGCTCAGATTAACAGCGGCAGTTATCATGGACTGCGTTGGCTGAACAAAGAAAAAACCACGTTCCGTATTCCCTGGAAACACGCCGGCAGGCAGGACCTGTGTGAGAATGATTACAGCATCTTCAAGGTAGGGACTTGCAGCGGCTTGTGAGCTGTTGCCTGCAGACAATTAATGCTGTTTCTACAGTCAGCCCTTTGTCCCCGGGAGTATGAGGCGGCTGAGCGAGCAAATGTCTGAATTAAAAAGTCCGAACCCGATATTTTGCATGAGATTGGCAGTATTGAGGGAGCGCCGCTCAGAAATTTAGACGCTGATGGATGTAAAGACTGTTTGGCATTAATTTGAAGAACAGCAGGAGAGTATGCTATGGTGTTCTTGTCAAAACCAATAAATTAAGAGATTATTTGGTAATTATCTCACTACTGCTTGTGGGAGCTTGCTGTGCACAAATTGATTGGTCTGATTCCAATGTTACAACAGTGATTAACTTCAAAAGTACTAATTTGGCTGTACAGCACGTCGAGATGTCTGATGATCCAAGAAGGTGCTGTGGCAATGCAAGTCTTTTAGATGTTGTCTATCTCTATAGGGATTCCTGTTTGAAATGTTTTGGCTTTGAGAAAATGAAAAATGTTGGCCAAGCTCTCTTTAATTAGATTCGAATTTCAATTGGAGTCTGTCCTTCTCAAGAAATATTAGAGTTTGATGTGTAGCTTGGAAAGTTAGTGGATTATGGTAAAGTTAGACCAATCAGCTAATCTTAGTAGAGACTGTCCGATATAGGGAACCCACAGCATTGTTAAGTTTGTAAATGCTCCCTATGCCAAACATCAAATAAAAACGTTGGGTTCTTTGCTGCCCTGTTATTTACCAACAAGGTCCCTTATCACTGCTCCCTCTGCTGGCGCAGTGGAGAGTTGTAATGGCCTATTCCTATTCTTTCAAATGGAAGATGAACTCAGCCATATCCTCAAGATCCCTTGGTGATGCTGTTGTATGATGGGCAGCTGAGGATGTTGGGGAAGTGATGATCAGCCATTCCCTGGGTGATGGCGACTTTGGTGAGAAGTCAGAATAGCTGTCAAACGAAAGGAAAACCCCACAGATGCTGGATATCTGAAACAGGCGCAGAGAATGCTGGAGGAACTCAGCAGGTCTGGATCTGGAACTTTAGTTATGAACAAGTTGTACAGACTGGAAACGTTAACTCTGTTTCTCTCGCCGCAGATGCTGTCGGACCTGCTGAGTTTCCTCAGCGTTTTGTGATTGTTGAAGAATAACTATGGTCTAGGGCACAGCCTGACAATATTCAGTCTGTTCCTTATGAGAAGAGAAAAGCAGTGATTTAAAGTGACAGAGTATCTGCTCCACCATCCACCTGAGCAAGAGCACTTCTGAAACTGAAAAAATGTTTCAAATCTCCTTCCAGACATGGGAGCTCAGCGCTGTCGGAGGGTGGGTGCTGAGGGAGCGCTGTCGGAGGGTGGGTGCTGAGGGAGCGCTGTCGGAGGGTGGGTGCTGAGGGAGCGCACAGCTATCAGGAGAGTTGGTACTGAAGGAGCGTTTTATTCTTGGAAGATTGTAACGAGTTTATCAACTCGATAACCTCCTGATGCTCCAATTCATTTTATAACTCGACCTTTCATAAGTCAGCAGCCTGACATCTGATAACTGGGTTTAATTAAGTATTCAGTTTTGGGTCAGTGAGTAGCTGTCTTTTTGTCACTGTACATGTGTTGAGGAGGTGGTACAGTCATTTGGTTTGTGATGCAGATTGATGCCAATGGTGTGGGTTCAATTCTTGGACCAGCTGAGGTTCCTGAAGGAATTTCCGTCTCCATCTTTCTCCTCACCCGAGGTGTGGTGATCCTCAAGTTTAACCACCACCAGTCATTTCTCATGTCAGAGGGCAGGTCTTTGGTCTGCTAGGACTATGGTGACCTTAATAATGTCAGCCTATTGATGCATATCTCTGTCTGTGTATTTCTGTGTGGGATCCTCCTGTGTGTAAATATCAAGCTCCCAAGTGATGATTTGGCAATTGATTTTTATCGAAACACTTGAAATCCCAAGCAGCAGACTTTCTCTGGCTGTCATTGTCTGAGGGTCTCAATACACTGTAAGTGTCACTTTGCTGTCCCTGTGCTTAGCAGCTTGAGGGATCGGTGGAGCATTTCAAGCCTTGCTGCACGCCAGCTCACCTGAACCCCTGCAACAGCTGTGATAAGCGCTCAAAGAGAGATATGACAGTGGACATTCAAAGTCTGGAGGGTGGCTAATGTGGTGCCATTATTTATGAAAGGCTGTAAGGAAAAGCCAGGGAACTATAGACCAGTGAGCCTGACATCAGTGGTGGCTAAGTTGTTGGAGGGGATTCTGAGGGACAGGATTTCCATGCATTTGGAAAGGCAAGGACTGATTAGAGAGAGGTCAGCATGGCTTTGTGCATGGGAAATCGTGATGATTGAGTTTTTTGAAGAGGTGATAAAGGTGATGAAGGCAGAGTTGTCTATCTGGACTTCAGCAAAGCACTTGACAAAGTTCCACATGGTAGACTGGTTAGTAAGGTTAGATCTAGGGGCAACTAGCGAATTGGACACAAAATTGGATTGATAGTAGGAGATAGCCGGTGGTGGTGGAGGGTTGTTTTTCAGACTGGAGGCCTGTGACCTGCCATGTGCCACAAGGGTCAGTGCTGGGTCCACTTCTTTTTGTCATTTTTATAAATGATTGGGATATGAATATAGAAAGCATGGTTAGTGAGTTTGCAGATGACACCAAAATAGGTGGTGTAGTGGACAGTGAAGAAGATTATCTTAGCGTATAACAAGACCTTAATCTGATGGGCAAAATGGGCTGAGGAGTGACATGTGGAGTTTCATTTAGAAAATGTGAGATGTTGCATTTTGGTAAGGCAATCAAGGGCAGAGCTTATACGGTTAATTGTAGGGTTGTGGGGAGTGTTGCTGAACAAAGAGACTTAGAGGTGCAGGTGCATAGTTGCTTGAAATTGGAGTTGCAGGTAGACAGGGTTGTGAAGAAGACATTTGGCACGCTTGCCTTTATTGGTCAGAACGTAGTATGGGAATTGAGACATTATGCTGTGGCTGTGAGGCCACTTTTAGAATACTGCCTTCTGTAGGGTGGATGTTGGTAAAGTAGAGAGGGTGCAGGAAAGATCTACAGGAATAGACTGGGGCTTTTTCCCCTGGAGCGTCAGAGGCTGAGGGGTGATCTTATAGAGTTTTATAAAATCATGAGGAGTATGGATAGGGGGAATAGTCAAGGGCTTTTTCCCAGGGTAGGGGAGTCAAAAACGAGAGGACATAGGTTTAAGGTGAGAGGGAAAAGATTTAAAAAGGACCTGAGGGCCAACTTTTTCATGCAGAGGGTAGTGCGTGTATGGAATGAGCTGCCAGAGGAAGCTGGTACAGTTACAACATTAAAAAGGCATCTGGATGGGTACATGAAAAGGAAGGGTTTAGAGGGATATGGGCCAAATGCTGGCATATGGAAGGAGGTCAGATTGGGATATCGGGTTGGCATGGACGAGTTGGACCGAAGGGTCTATTTCCATGCTGTGTGACTATGACTCTAAATCAGTGGTTTATCACATTCAGCATGGAGGCTGATACAATAGAAGGACAATGTGCCTGTCCTGGAATGCACAGAAGTTTAGAATATTTCAGTGTTGTTTGAGACATTGATAACTAACATAGAAATGCTGATGATAACCTACCAGTGTTCTAACACAATATATATGATATATGCATTCTCCCACTGCCATTGTGGTCAGCGGATGTCCCTCAAGTTGAGCATTCCGTCTCCCCAGAGTTATGAGTTGCTTTGAGAGTCTTCATGTGATTTAAACAGGCCAATCCTCAACCCACATATCTTTGTACACATGGGGCATTTTCTGGAAAATTTTCTGAAGAACGGTCCCGACCCGAAACGTCAGCTTTCCTGTTCCTCTGATGTGCCTGGCCTGCTGTGTTCCTCCAGCTCCACACTGTGTTATCATTACTAACCTCCTCCTTTTTCTCCCGACACCCTTGCACAATATTTCTATCCAAATAATCATCCAGAGCACTTTTGAATGCCTCAATTGAAAATGGCTGCACCATGTTTCCAGGCAGCGCCTTCCAGATCTCACTGTGTGAAAAAGTCTTTTTCTGACGTTACCACCTGTTTTGTTTGCGCATCACTTTAAACCTATTCCCTCTTGTCCTTTTGCTTTTTTTGAGCAGAAACAGCTTTTCCCGATCTGTGCTATCCAGCCTGCTTATGATTGAGTCTTTGCTCTCTCCTGGAATGCTGGCCGCTTGAATTGGAGAAAACGTGATCTGCTTGGGGGAGACTCTTTTCAGTCCTGGAGATTCTGTGTGCAGTCCATCATAGATGTTTTTGCTTGTGCAGCTGGCTTCAAAAAGAACACTGGAGTTTGCTCAATGCAGGAGCAAAGTACTGTAGGTGCTCGAATCTGTACTGAAAACAAAAAGTGCTGGAGATCTCAGCAGGTCAGGCAGCATCCGTGGAGAGAAAGTAATCTGACATTTCAAGTCTAGATGACTCTTCATCAGAGCTGACGTGAAGTGACATGAAGACTTCACATCAGTCCTGATGAAGAGTTATCTAGACTCGAAACACTAGCTTGTTCTCTGTCCGTAGATGCTGCCTGACCTGCTGTGATCACCAGCATTTTTTTGTTTTCAGCACTGGAGTTTGTTCATTTGTTTTTCATTAAATTCCGACTACTCTGCTACCTTTTTGTTTGTTCATGGAGTAGGAGTGTCACTGGCTATGCCAGCATTTATTTTCCATCCTTAATTGCCGCTAAGAAGGTGCTGGGTGAGCTGTCTTCTTGAACTGCTAAGTCCACTTGGTGTAGGTAGAGCCTCAATGCTGTTAAGGAGAGAGAACCAGGATTTGGACATGGCAGCACTGCAGAAACAGTGCTGTAGTTCCAGACCATGTGGTTGTAACATATACGTGAATCAAAGGCTGTCATGAAAGTCCACTGTACAATTTAAAGTTTTAGCAAAGATCTGTAGCTCGGTTGTTAACTTGCTCGCCAAGCTGGCTTGTGTTTGTTCAGACGTTTCGTCACCAAGCTAGGTGACATCATCAGTGGAGCCACCGATGAAGCAATGTTATTCTACTCTTCTTGGAATTTATACTGCCTGGTCCGTTATGGTCAGTACTGTCATTTCCGGTTTTGATCTGTATGGGTTTGTATATCGGGTCCAATTCGACATGTTTGTTGATTGAAGTATGGGTGGAGAACCATCTCTCTAGGAATTCCAGTGCGTGTTTGTGTTTGGCTTGGGCTACTGGACAAATTAACCATAGTAGCCCAAGCCAAACATAGACACGCACGGGAATTCTTAGAGGCATGGTTCTCCACCTAGAATGCAATCAACAGACACATAGAATTGGACCTCATATACAAGCCCATACAGATCAAAACCAGAAATGGCAGTACTGACCATAACGGACCAGACAGTATAAATTCCAAGCGAAGTAGAATAACATCGCTTCTTTGGAGGCTCCGCTGATGATGTTACCTAGCATGTGATGAAACATCTGAACAAAAACAAGCCAGCTTGGTGAGCAAGTCAACAACTTCATCCACTGTACAATGCAGTGAGGGTCAGTGCCAACTGACTGAGGTAGGTTCCTGGCAGTCCATGCAGAGAACACACCACTAGCCCATTGCATCCGTTCCATCAGCAAGGTGAAACACAAGCGCATGTTGTAGGGCCTAAAAGATGATAAAGATGGCTGGACAGAAACTCTGAAGGTATGTAGTGGTCCTGACATGTCAATTGGTCATCTGACTTTTGGGAGACTATTAGTCACATCAATGATCTCCTGATATCAATATTTATCACATGATTATTGGAGTTTTCCTGTTGCACCTTCCCCATCTTTGGCATACAAAGGGAACATCACAACCAGTGTGGCATTTATGAAGTGATGTAACTTACGTAGACAAAAGTGGTAGCTAAGTTGTTTATAGAAAGATCCCACAAACAGAAATGAGTTGATGATCAGACAAATTGTTGTTATCAATGATAGCTGGGGGAAATACCTTGGCTACTACATTGTCTTAATTTTAACTCTACTGCTGTACTTTGAATAGAGAGGAAAGACAGGTGCCAGTGTCCACTCATGGTTCAGTAGGTAACTTTGTTGCCTATGAGTAGTAAAGTTGTGACTTCAAGAACCACTCAAGGGATTTTGGTGTATTACCTTAGCCAGCAGTCTCAGTACAGCAGAAACAAATTGCTGCACTGTTTCAGAGGCAGTACTGAGGGAGTGCAGTACTGTCAAAGGGGCAGTATGGGGGAGCACTGTGGTGTGTGAGGGTCAGTACTGAAGGTGCACTGCAGCGTCAGAGAGATAGTATTGAAGGAGCACTGCACTGTATTGTCACCATTCTGGTACTGTTCATTGCAGTCAATTACTAAAGAATGTTGCTGTTTCTTTTCCAGGGTTGGGCAACAGTGAGTGGGAAATGTACTGATGGTCCACCCAAATGGAAAGCTAACTTCCGATGTGCCCTCAACAATATTGACTCATTCACTTTGCTGGAGGACAACTCAAAGGACAACTCAGATCCACATAAAATCTATGCCATAACTAACCAGAGGGTCAATTCAGCTGTTGGTACGTTTCCCTTGTGAACTTAGACACAATGGTAGCTTAAGTGTTCCATTTCAAGGACTGAGATGCCTGGCACTTAGTGACAAATCAGCCATGGTCTCATTGAACAGACTAGAGAGGTTAAATGATCTCTTCCCCACTCACAGTTCCTTTGTATATCTGCATGTGCGATTGTTTGGAAATCTCCATCTAGTTGGACTCAGTATAATTGTTTTACTGTGGTTTATTGCACTTGCAACCTAGTCCATCTGTTTCAGATATATGAATAGCAAATGGCAATACAAGACTATACTGCAGTGATCGTTAAGATCCTGAACACTGCTGAAAAATCCCTGGGGCAGGAATTGAATTTTAAAAGTGAAATCTTGATCAAGTTTCTGGATTTTATTTGTGAAACAGATTTGAACTTGTGGAGGAGAACTCTTTGACATTTTATCTGGTAATGATATGCGGGTGCTGCTGGCAAGGCAAACATTTATTCTCCATCTCTTATAGTCCTTGATTAGATCATGAACTACCAACTTGAACTGCTGCAATCTATGTGGTGTCAGTTAAGAATCGCACAATTGGTTAGCGAAGAGTCTGTTTCCTTTCTGATTAGCTGTGGGGCTCATGGATTGGATGACCAATGATGAGTCTGGATACTTGCCAGGTGGACCTAAGTTAATGTGGAGAGGTGAGAGAAGCTGAGGGTGCTCTCCTTGCAGCAGAGGAGGTCTGAAGGAGATTTAACTGAGGCGTTCAAAATTCTGGATTATTTTGATAGAAAATATGAGGAGAAATTGTTTCCAAAGGTCACAGATTTAAGGCTATTGGAAAAAGAATCAGATTGATGAGGATTTGTTTGTGGACCACTGTATGGTCTGGAAGGCACTATGCCTGATAAGATGATGGAAGCAAATTCAATAATAAATACTGCACACGGAAAGGAAAATATGGGGAAAGCAGGGGAGTGTGAGTAATTGGCTTATTCTTTCAAAAAAGCCATCAGAGGCACAATGGATTGAATGGCCTACTTCTGTGCTGCATCATATTCTTTGATTTGAAATATTGGTAAAAAAGCAATTTAAAACAAAAAAAAGTTAGATTTTTAAAATTCGTTTTGCTGTGATTTCAGATCCAAATATGGATGGAGCTCTGCAAGAAGATGATAACCTCGAATCACAACTGCGCATCAGTCCTGAGACTAACCTGGAACAGCCCAACTTTGCACTGCAGTGCTCTGCAATGTTTCACTCTCAGGTATGTTGGGATGTGAGATTCAATTTTGCTGAGCTTTCAATCACCAGGAAACCCATTCAACAGATAACAAGATTACAGCAAAGCTAGGAAACGGGACGTGGAGCAGGGAGCAGTGATTCGGAATTATGGCTCTGAGACCTCTAGATAACAACAGGAAGCTTCATTGTGCTTCTCCATAACTGTCCCTTTGTAAATTATTTTGGATCCATAACCATCTGGGGAATATTACAAGTTTTTACCATTTAAGTCTGGTAGACTGTTTAATATCAAGATGCACCTTTAAAGTGCTTTAACTCAATTTGCATATGTGGCTTCCTTGTTCAGGAGTTCAGGATTCCTAAACTGAAGGGAAAAGGCATTCTTAATCTATGTCATAATTTTAAAGACCCTGACCAGATCACCCCAAACTTCATGTCTGTCGAACAGAAGACAGCTTTTCTGGTTGCTCATCAGTGTGGTCACAGCTATGACTCAAAGGAGGCAGCACCCTGAGTCAGAATGCTGTGGATTCAAATCCCACTCCAGTTATTCAATGGACAGAACTGAGTATTAAGGAAGCAATACACTATTGGAGGAGTAATACAAAGGCTACACTGCACTGTCAGAGGGGCAGTACTGAGAGATGGATGTGCAGTCTTTCTGGAGAGATCTTAAACTGTATCCCCTTGCATAGGGGAGGCAATGGCCTTGTGGTATTATTGCTGGACTGTTAATCCAGAGACCTGGATAACATTTTGGGGACCTGGGTTCAAATCCTGCCACGGCAGGTGATGGAATTTGAATTCAATTTTAAAAAAAAGTCTGGAATTAAGAATCTAATGATGACCATGAATCGATTGCCAATTGCTGGGGAAAATCCCATCTCATTCATTAATGTCCTTTAGGGAAGGAAACTGCCATCCTTACCTGGTCTGATCTACATGTGACTCCAGACCCACAGCAATGTGATTGACTCTGAATTGCCTTCTGGGCAATTAGGGATGGGCAATAAATGTTGCCTGGTCAGCAATGTCCTCTGCTGTTAATGAATGAAAAAAATGGATGTTAAGGATGCCATTGCAGTATTTTTAGAAAGAATAGGAGATTTCCGTTCAGGGTCACTCAACCAACATCACTGAAAACAAAAAGAAAGCCAGTCATTTATCATGTTGCTGTTTGTAGGGTCTTGCTGTAGACAGTGGCAGCTGCTTTATATCAAGGAATACCCTTCAAAACGTTATTACTTGGCTGCAGAAGGCTTTGGGTCACCCTGAGAGTTGCGAAAAGCATATTGAAATTCACATCTTGTTTTATATCCTATGCTGCGAGTGTGGCAAAATCTAACATGTTAAAACTATCAGTCAGCTTTATTTGCAAATTAGACAATTACAACAAAATAGCAAGAAACAGCAAGTGTACAAAGCAAGGATTGCAAGTAATCTGTTTCACAAACAAAAAAATTCCAAACACTTCAGTTCTATTTCAAGTTTTCCAATGAAACCTGTTGTGTTACATGGAAGATTGGCCTTTGACAGGCGCTACAATTATTTCCTAAATATTCCCAAAGTAAGGAATTAGGAACTGTAGTTTTGTTTTATCACTGATATATCCATCTTTACTCTGACATTAAGTGCTTACTTGTTGATAAATCAATTCCTTGACCTGCTCCAGTCACCCAAAACTATGATGAATGTCTTGTATTGAGCTACCTTGATTGCAGCAGTGTTTGTGTCCTGAAAAACCTGTTAATTAAACTGGTTGGAACTTGCTAACTCTGTTTCTCCCTCCGTAAATCCTGACTAAGTTTCTGCAGCTCTTAGTTTTTATTAAATATTTCCAGCATCTGCAGTGTTTTGTTTTGAGTGGGAAAAAAATTGAGACTTGTATTTCCATAGTGCCATTTACAACCTTAATGTTTCTCAAGGTATTTTACAACCAAAATGAAGTAATTACTGAAGTGTAGCCACTGTTCCAGTGTCAGATACACAAAAGCCAATATGCATACAGCAGGTTTCCAGGCAGACAGGGCCTTAGTATATTTCATATCTCTAAGGCACGCCTCTGTCATTTCACGACTGATCCCCGGACAGAGCAGTGCTCCCTCAAAACTAACTCACCAACAGAGCAGTGCTCCCGCAGCAGTAACCCTCCAATAGTGCAGTGCTCCTGCAGCACTAACCCTCCAGCAGTGCAATGCTCCCTCAGTATCAGCCCTCCAATAGTGCAGTGCTCCCTCAGTACCAGCCCTCGAACTGAGCGGTGCTCCCT